AGTTCTAAGGACTGCCAAACGGTGTATGGTGGCAAACGGTAAATGGCTTGCCGTTGGCGTTCCACACAACGCCCACTGTGTGGCGTAGTGGTTAGCGCCGCGCGCTGAGAATCGAGAGGTTGCTGGTTCGATTCCGCGCGACAGACGCTTACATTCGGGTTTTTACTTTGGAATCTCCTAAATATGCCTCTAGAATTGTTACACGGCATGTAGCGGACTTGTGTAGCACGAGCTGCGACAGCGACCGCGTAGGATGCTACCTATTCCCTGCTGTATCGTAAACAGGAGGTTATAGGATTCTAAAGCAGCGATAACCTTGAATACACGACGATAGTTATAGCGCGAGAACAAAACGACGACACAGAGACAAGAAGGACACGGAGTGTCTCTGTGTCGTCGTTTTGTTCTCGCGCCATTACTATCGTCATGCCAAGCTGCCACACTTGAATACACCCTTGATGGCTGGAAAAGCCAAGCAGACGGGTGACGGCTTCCAACAGTAACTTCCGGGGAGTTAAACGCGAGAAGTATACAGCAGGATTTTTACGGACGCCTCAACAGTCATCACGACAGGTCACCACCTCTGAGCATCTGTCCGTGAGAACAGTCCATGAATTGGTGGGGTATACAAGGTTACACCCGCTGAAACTCCTTGTGGAACTCCGGGTAATAGGAAATAACAAAAACGTCTCGGGAAAGATGTACAGATGGCTCAACGAAGCATGGATTGCACTGTAGTAGCTGATCAGCACATCGTATGCGAGAAGAACGAAAGAAAGAAATTAAGAGAGAAAGAAAGAAAGAAGATGCGTCATCAAACAAATGAGCGGAGGCCAGACCTCACGTGCTGCCTCGCATTAGCACGAAAGTAAATACTGACGCAAGAAAAAAAAAGAGAAGACTGAATCTCCCGTACCGAATAATTTGGCGAGCGCGTTACAGCACTAGATGAGTGCAGAGCACACGCACGCCATACTCGCGTTTCGAGCGGCCGCTTTCTCCCGAACCAAACGAAGCCTCACGAAACCGTACCGGTTTCGAAGAAGCTTCCGAACATGCAGTCCGTATATGGTCAGGTGAAGACGGCGGAGAAAAAAAAAAAAATCCACCACGCGTTATTCGACCAGGATTTCCTCGGGGCCGCTTTCCCACGAAGGCAGCGCCACCGCCGAGCGTGCGAAGGGAGCTGCAACGACAAAACTGTAACGCACGCGGAAAAAACCGGTAACCGACGTCGCGTGCGACCGGCGGTTTAGGTTTGACGCCGGACAGGACCCGCGCGGGCATCGATGGTGGCGGCACGATGTGCCGGTGATACGCGCGGGGACTACGCCAAATCGTCTTCCCACCCTGTAGGTATTGCGTGTGCGTTTCGACCTCTAATTTTCGATGGCCAACGTCAATCCCTCCGAAGCAGCACCATCTTCTGACGAGCTCTCCCTCTGACTGTCTCTACAGGGCTGACTGACCGCCAAATTAATGTACTACTCCCCATCTGCGTCCCGTTGAGACGTGCTTCAAGTTTCCTCCAGTTACTCTGCATACAAAATATCATTAGTGATAGGTATTACAATCGGAGATTCCATGTTAAGACATTGACAGGGGGCAGTTCCTAATACTAAAACGAAGGTATGCTAACTGTCTAGTGCAGCACAATAAAATGTAATGCATTCATAAAACTGTACCAGAAAAGCTACGAAAAGCGCGAGAGTAAAATAAGTTGCAACGAAAATAAAAAGTACACCTGGCCGTGTACGGCCTAAAAGCACACTGGAGCAGCAAAAAGTGAAACGGTACAGTTGAGAAATTGCATGCCTGCTTCGCTTGGGGAAAGAACTGACACCTCAGCACACCGGCATCGATTTTCATTAACGTGCTAGACCCCCAGTTCTCGTTGATCTGACCCAATATTTTAGTAAAATATTCTAGTGAATGTCCTCGCCGATTTGGAGCAGCCCTTTTTGAATCTCGCCTACATGCGCATAGTTTCGTCCGACAGAGAAGCGCCTACTCTCTTCCGCGGAGCGTGGAAAAATGTTTGCTCTAAGTGTACCAGCGGCGTACACCAATAGCAAGCAAAATCATGATGCGATTAATCAGCTCTCTAACGCACACGGGTTACTATCAGAGGGCGTTACTGCGCGAAGACTACAACCCATCAAGATGTGCACACGAAACACATCGTGCAACGTCTTTGTCATCGAGTTTTGAAACAACGTACAACTGGCATCGACGGTTTCGCTAAGGGTCCCGCCGACGCAACGTTGACAGATCCAAAATTTCGGAGACATCCAAAAAGGCAGTAGCTCCTCACTCTGCTTGTCCCTGAAGCTTGACCTTAATACATCGCCACCTCATTCAGTGGTTTGGAAACAGTAGACGAAAAGTGCACATATCAGCACAACTTGAAAGAAAAAAAAAATTAAGATATCAAATCTATCCCGCTGATAGCTACAACATCGATTGCATTATGATAGGCGACGACAAGGAAGCTACGACATTTTTTTGTCTTCCTTTCTTTTTTATTCATGCCAAGGTCACTAACCGCTAATAATGAAGGTACTCAGCGGTTGTTCAGTATGTCACCAAAGTACGTCCATCATCAATACACGGTAACCCCTCTAACTACAGTGCTCGTTAGATGTCACGCGAAAGCCACGCTAAGAAGAAACGAAGTCACGAAGAGGAGCGCGACCAGTGTGTAGACCACCTTCTCACGGTGCTTAACGGTGAAAGGATGTATACTGCTTCCCAGCATCGACACGCGTGCCTTCTGCGAAAGCACGTACCGGCACTTCCGCTAGCCTCGTATACCTATACCATTCGGGTATGACGGTTCCTCTCTCCAGCTTCCTGACGGGGCGTCGCTTCGAGCCGGGAGGCGACGCCTCATCTTCGCCTTCGTCACACAATCGTCACCGGCGACTTCCGACACCCATCACGACGACACCGGCGCGAGACGACGGCGAGGCGAGGGCTATGCTTGGACCGTGGCGACATCCGCGTGACCGCGAGGCGAACCAATAACCCCTCCCTTCCTCTTCTACACTGTGTAATCTTCGTCGACGTGCCCACTACCGCCGTTCACCAGAGGGATTATAGAACGCGGACGAGGAGCGAGTGGACGCCGAGGCTACCAACAATGAGATCGGAAGAGACCTCGCGCAACGAAGGGGATCTGTTGGTGTCTAGTTCCTATACAGCAGCATAGAGGAAGCCTGTAAATGAGCTGGAGATTCCGAAGAGGGTTTAGGCGCATCTTATAGCGATGCCGCGGCAACAAACAACGAGATCGGAAGGAATTTCGCGGAAAGAGGAAAGAAAAAACGCATTTAGCTAGGAAAGAAATAAATAAACGACGCCTAACGATTACAAAGAAGATAACAGAAAAAGAAAGGAAAGCGCGTTTCCACAAAGATTGGGGGGAAACTGAGAAAGAAATCCGCAGTGGACACTAAGCGTCAGTAGCCATATCAAATGCCTACACAAGCGCAGGCAGCATGGGCGAACAAAAGGAACAGGGGCGACGGTATGCGCATACAGCAAAGCAGAGCGGGCCTCCGCGGTCACGCGGTGCTCTCTTCCGCGTGCTGTTCTCTGAAGTGTGATGTTTGAAAAGGGAGGGGACCGCGGTCAGCCGCAATGGGTGAAACCGCGAACGCAGCCAAGGGCATCGGAGGAGGATGTAACGGTGGCCGACGCTACTGGGCGCTGTCCGAGCGAGAACCGTTTTAACCGCAACAGCGACGGCCACAGCCGTATAAAGCACACAGCATTACGGAGCCAATGCACGGTTGTGGAGTTCTGGTGAAAATAGAGAGAGAAGCCCCCGGGAGTTCTCCGCAGTACTTCGTTCAGAGGCGACGACTTATAAGCCCTCGCCGATACGCCGCGCCTAAACGACGGATAAAAGCCGAATCCGCTATCCAAAGGCAGGAGCAGGTCAGCCTTGACCGCGAGCGCTACATAATTCGCTATATGGTGTTCCTGCACGAGATCCTACGCTTGATACACAAGGGCTACAGCGCACGTGGCGACGATTTGCATATGCGATGCCAGCCAATGAGGTGGGCCAAGCAGACGCGGTGATATCTGGTGCAGGTCATTGAGCTGAAGGCGATTCGTAAAGCAGAAGTGCACGAGATCGAAATTCACACATTACCGAGGTCTGTTACGTGAATAATACAGTGAACGCGCGTCGCAACTGTTCCCGACTGCCACGTCGAACAAAAGAACAACGGTATAGAAAACGTGGTTGCCGCACAAAATCCACAATCGCCTCCTCCCGAAGTATACAGCGGCAAGTTTTTTTCTAATCTTTCTATAAAAAGAGGGAGGGTAACTGGGCTTGGTACACTGAACTGCTTATTTAACCGATTTGACAAATATTGCCTGGCAAGGTTACAATTCAGTATATATCAGCACAGAACTGTCTCTCGACGAAGTTCCGGTGCGCCGCATAAAATAAAAAGCAAGAGGGACGAACACGTTTCTTGCAAAGATCGATGAGACGAAAATGTTCGAGTAGCTCAAACCGTCACTCAACGTGAGGCGTTTTAGCAGTGACAGAAATAACTTAACGTTTACACTGCAGTATTACTGTCCCTTCTACAATGTACCAAGACCCGAAAACATTTCAACTGCGCGAGTTGCTCAATGCGAACGGAAACATGTTAAGGTGATTACAGTGGTTAGCACAGGTTTTACAGGCTTAAAAAGCGACGTGCTGACCACAACGGGACAGTGTATTACCGTTGTCACCACGTGGTAAACAACGCCATTGTGACGAAGGAAGGAAATGGAAATTTAAGGGCTCCTTTTTCTTTGTTATAAACAATATTAATGAGAACTAACAGACCATGATGCCAAGAGTAGTATAGAGATTGTCGTTAGTAGTAACTGTAATGTAAACGCGAAGAAAGAAAATTGGGCGAAAAGATCACTTGCCGCGCGACTCGTACTGCCGAGTTCGCCCGAAAGCATCCGCGAAATTCGTGCAGGTGGACCATCGTCACCGACCCTGGCAACGACGCGGTGTGGCCGCCCTGCCGGAGTGCGCGGCGCAACAGGTGTGCTCGGCGCTGTACGTGCGCGTGAACCGGACCCAGCCGCTGTGCGCCTGCCCGGCCGCCTTCGCCGAGCCCTGCTCGGACTCGGCCGAGCTCGACGAGCACACCATCAAGCTCGTCTCCAACGACAGGCAGGGCACCTTCAACCTCATCAAGGTATACTGTCTATACGGTGCATGCCCCATTTACGCACGTGTAGGCGCCTCCGCGTATACATATTATCTAATGGCGCGCCTGCGACGCACATAGCACGTGCATTCTCGGTCAGGACCACTGAAGCTACAGTGTAGGTAAAGGGACCTATAGTACTAAAAAACATCTTTCACCGACACTTAAGGCTCATCTTAACAAGCAATGAGAATATTGCGCATATTTTCTTTATTTAATGCTCTCCAACCATTACTTTTTCAGCCAGGAGAACTCTATTGCGTTGATACGTTCCGAAGTGTCCATAGTGTTTCATTGGCAGGTTCCAATGATCGTTTCATAACACTCTCGCATCCATGCACCAAGTTTTAAGGCTAGCGTGAGTTGTATGCAAGTAAAAGACAGACAATCACTGCAAACGACTGCTTTATGTCCTATAGTGATTTGATTTGTGGAGTCTAACGTCCCAAAACCACCACGATGATTATGAGAGACGCCGTAGTGGAGGGCTCCAGAAATTTCGACCGCCTATAGGGTTCTCTCGCGTGCACCAAAATCTGAGCACACGGGCCTCCAGCATTCTCGCCCCCACCGAAAATGCAGCCGCCGCAGCCGGGATTCAATCCCGCGACATGCGGGTCAGCAGCCGAGTACCTTTAGCCACTAGACCACCGCGGCCGGCATATAGTGCAGTGCTAAAGTTCTTGTCAACTTATAATTTATTTTATTTTTATTTTTTATTTTTATTTATGAATACTGCAGCCCTAACATAGGGTTTTGGCAGGGTGGATATACATTTGATAAGTTTACAAATCGGCAAACAAATAAATATAAAACAGGTAAGTCATTTACACACTTTCATAACGAAAAAAAATTATAATTATACAATGACCAGCCAAATGTGCCTTTAGAGAGCCTAATATTGGCATACCTGTGGGACTCTTGCGACTAGAAGGTCTCAGCTATTGAAGAAAACACACCCTTTCGATGCATCGAGCTTACAGGTGCCCTGCACACAGCTATACAGGACCCTCGGGCGAAGTCTCGAAATTCCTCACGAAGCACGACCACGTGCGCAGGTGTGCGAGCCCGTGCTGTCGGTACGGCGCTGCCAGGAGCCCCGCGATTGGCAGCTGCTGGCGCTGCAGAGCACCCGCACGGGCCGCGCCCACTACCTGCTCGTGTGCCGATGCCCCACGGGCTCGCGCCTGCTGGGGCCCGTGCGCCACACCACGCCGCCGTACGCCAACATACCAGGCATCCGCGTGTACGGCATGCTGTGCGCTCAGGGGCCGGCCTCGCTGCCGCCTAGGGACAGCAGGAACTTCCAGAAGGGTACGTATGGCATCTTCCTCTACACACCGGACAGGCATGAGTGGGCGTGAGCAAGCATGTAGACCTTCTCACCGAACTTCTGCACAGTCGAACGCGAATGGTCGGTTAGCGATGTTCCGAGACCTTGTGGGAAAACGTTGCTCTGCACTTCTTTACCGTTGATGACGCCACCTTTGACGCCCGAGTAACAATAAGCGCGCCAAATGCGAGTTTCCGCAGGAATCGCTAAACCACAAATTATGCAGTCTTCTCTAATAACTACATACAGCTCCAGAAAAAACTGCTTCGCCTGTTGAAAGACCCAATAAGAAGGCACAAGCTTTTGCCACTTTTGTACTTAATCAGACAAGTGCCGAACGGCTTTGCAGCTACCGTTCACTAATATGGAAGAAAAGTGCCACAAATGAAAATTAATGAATGAATAAAGTCCGGCTGTTTCCGTCGGGCGAGGCGGGGACAGAAGGGGATTGACACCGTCTGAACTGTATATATATATATATATATATATATATATATATATATATATATATATATATATATATTCGAGTAGTGGTGGCCGACCCCTTCCAGCTACGCCAACATTTCCTTCACCCGTATACATTGTCACTTTACTCTGCCGTAGACGTATAAAAAACCAACCAAGGCTATGTTCCAATTCTTAGACAGCACGTAGACAATCTACGCAGACTGCTTAGAGGACCGCACGGAGCCCATGCTGTCCGAGAATTGGAACAAGTTTAGACAGCTTTTACGCGACGATGCGCCACCTCACGTCGAGAAGAAAAAGCTAAAAGAAACAAACATAACAGTTGTAATTTTGGCTTATTTCGTATTGAAATCAAAAACGAATAAACGTTACTCACATTGAGCGTCTGGGAAAGCGTCTGTTTGAGTGCAGACGACCATTCTGGCGAGATTTAATCTATCTGAGCGATTCGATGAGCCGCCATCTTGTTTAGACAGCAAAGTAGCCTACATCGTATTTGTCTACGATGCGGTCTTCTCGGAGCTGTCTACTTTGCCGGCTACGTGAGAATTGGAATGGGACTTAAGATGGCCGCCGTCCATTTGGCTGTCTATTTAGCCGTCTTCGGCGAGTATTGGAACACAGCCCAGAAAGAACCAATCAGACACAGCCAACATATAACAGGCTATAGGGAAGGCTACGGTGCCAAAGTGGCGGTGTGCCACCACTGCAGAATATAGTTCCACAATTGCGTCCGTCTTTTTCGCGTCGAAATAATAATAAAAAAAACATTAATTCATTTTCTAGAGGATGCTGTTTAAAAAGAGACGCAGCACGCTCCAAGAAGATATTCATATTCGTTTTACTTTATGCAATGTCACGCGCGAAAACGTCGCACGTTGTACGTGCACCTCACAGTCAAAATGGCGTCTTCGTTTTCAGGTGAGCGCTCGTCACCCTCCAGCTATTCCGACGAATCGCAGAATAAGCTTGTGACGAATTTCACTCACAAATGGCTGTCCAAGCGGGCGTAACAGATTGTACGCAGTGTTTATTATACGAACGCGTCCGTCATTCGAAACACTAACCGAACCGGACTACTTCGCGGAGGGGTACAAGTGCAGTTGCTCCACCCCCGCAGCTTTTCCCTTCATTGTCAGAGAAAGTTGTCCGGGAGTACAGTCCTATTTCTTGAATGTTAACTCCACTTGAAATACATTGTATAGGATTACGCTTTTTATATTTTTCTGGAAGACGCGGACAGTGCATATCGTCGTAACGAGGCGCACGTGGCAGTACAACGGGAGCAATCAGCCCGCCTTTTTTATTTTATTTATTTATTTATAATACCTCAAGGGCCCCAGTCAAGGGGTGTTACATGAGGGGGTAGACAGTTCACAAACAGATGATTTGTTCGATGGCTTCTTCGAAATGGGCGAGGATGGAGTGGTGCACGATGTCAGCAGGAAGATCGTTCCATTCTGTTGATGTTTGCACAAAAAATGAAGAGTGATGGGCAGTGGTATGCGCACGGGGTGGATAAACCGCTTTCGAATGGCTGATACGGCATGAAAGACGATGGGCTGGAACGATAACATGGTTTAGGTGCGATGCATGATAAAATGTGTGAAACAAACACAGTCTTGAAATTTTGCGGCGTGGAGCTAATTTAACCATGTTAGTTTGAGATTTTAGTTCGGTGACACTGCTAAGATAGAAATAGTCAGAATAAATGAATCTGGCTGCACGATTTTGGATAGTTTCAAGCGTTTTAATAAGAGTTATTTGATGGGGATCCCAGATGGCACATGCGTATTCTAGCTTCGGGCGGACTAGTGTTAGGTTAAAAGTTTAACAGAAGGTGGGGCTAGACGTAAGTTTCTTCGGAGATAGCCAAGCACGCGGTTGGCGTCATTAGTGATGTTCATAATGTGGGATGACCAGGTCAGATCTGAAGTTAGAGTGATACCGAGGTATTTACATGAATTAGCTGCTGTTATTTCAGAATCAAATAGGAAGTATTTATTGGAGGAATAAGATTGACGGCGATGGAAGGAAATGACACAAGTTTTCTTTCTGTTAAGGGACATCAGCCCTTTTTCGCACCATGATTGAATCAAACAAAGATCAGACTGTAGGATGACAGGGTCGTTAGGATTGTGAATAGGACGATAAATGACACAGTCGTCTGCGAACAGACGAATGTTAGACGCTAAGTTATTGGGGAGGTCGTTAATATAGATTAGGAATAGTAGAGGGCCAAGGACCGTGCCTTGAGGTACGCCGGAGGTTACAGCGGATAGGGAGGAGCGATGGTTATTAGCACAAACGAACTGCTTACGGTTAGTCAAGAAGTCACATATCCAATTAAAAACAAGACAATTAAGGTTAAGACGTGAAAGCTTCAAAAATAATCTGTTATGAGAAACTTTGTCAAAGGCTTTTTGAAATCAATGAAAATGGCGTCTACAGGTATGTTATTATCCAGGCTAGAACTCAGGTCGTTAACGAACAGGGCAAGTTGAGTGTCACATGACAGTCCTTTTTGAAAACCGTGTTGGTTAGGGTGAAAGAAATGTACTGAACGTAGAAAAATTACTATGTGGGAATAAATTATGTGTTCCATTAATTTAGAGCATACACTTGTGATGGATATGGGGCGATAATTACTCGGTGAAGATGAAAGACCTTTTTTCGGGACAGGAACGATCTTACCAAGCTTCCAGTCTTCCGGCACCACTCCGCATGAAATGGACTGCTGAAATATGTGCGAAAGAATAATGCTTGTTATAGGCTTAGTGTTTTTCAGAATTTTGGAATTGATGCCATCCATTCCCGCGGATGACGTTAGTTTCAATTCGTCAATTAGTTCTGCAATACCGTATGAATCGAACGTAATGCCTGGCATGACAGGATGATCAAGAAATGGAGAGTCTGGAAGCGGGCTGCAAGATTCAGGGGTAAATACGGAAGAGAAGGCAGTATTTAGTACTTGAGGGGTAACATGTTCTGGAATAGGATCGCCGTGTTCATCAAGTAAGGATAACGTTTTTGTGGGGTTGGGGTTAATGGCTCTCCAAAATTGTTTAGGGTTATTTCGTAGCATATTAGGTAATGTAGAAGAGAAAAAAGAACGCTTAGCCTTCGCAGCGAGTGATTCAAATTCCTTTGCCGTTCCGCAGTACTTGTTCCAAGCGCTCGCGCTGTTAGACAGTTTAGCCGAGCGATATAATCGCTTTTTCTTATTGTTAAGACGCTTAAGAGATATGTAGAACCAAAATGAAGACGCCCGTTCCGTAATTGTAATTGTGGGTATAAATCTATTGATCGAATCATGGATTTTGCACTTGAACAAAGACCAGTTAGTTTCAAGGGGGCGTTGGAAGAAGTCGTTTATATACCATTCACAAAATATGGATAGTTCGTTGTTAATGGTGGCATAGTTACCCTTATCGTAGAGTGCGAGGGTTTTCTTGGAATGGCTTTTGCCTGGTAGTTGATTAGAAAACGAAGCGTGAAGCACAGCGTGATCACTAATCTCTGCGAGAGGAACTAGGGATGCAAGATTGTCGGGGTGTGACGTGAAAATGAGGTCGAGAATATTTGAAGAGTGCTCAGTAGCTTGCGTTGGGAATGAAACAAGTTGAGATAAACCAAATGTTAGGCACGTGTTAACCAAGTCGCTTTCCATAGTGTGTTTAGATATCGTGAGCGCGAGGTTAGACCAGATTATTCCTGGGAAGTTAAAGTCACCCATTAAAATAACCGGTATGTTAGAATAAGAGGCATTCAGGAAGTTAAGAGCACTGCGGAAATTAGCGATAAATGAAGCATCTGCGTCAGGGGGGCGGTAACAGACTCCGATGATAACCAGAGGATATGAATTTCTGCAGCAGACAAACAGTAATTCAAGGCTGGAAGGGATGACCACTGGGGAGCAATTTAATCGACTGTGAGCAGCTATCAGAACGCCACCACCACGCTTACCATCACGATCTCGCCGAAAAATAGTAAAGCCAAGAAAGCATGGTGCTAATTCGGAATCGCTTATTGAAGGGTTTAGCCACGTTTCAGTTAAGAGAACAAAGTTGCATTCTGTCGTGCAGATAAGAATAAAGAGCGAGTCGCGTTTCGGCAAGAGGCTTCTAATGTTAGTGTGTACAATTGACAGAAGTTCAGGGTTTGATTTAGGATTCGCTGAGGTGGGAGGTGGTAGCTATGGGCGGAGGGGGATTACTTTTTCAGAAGAGCGATTGAAAACGTAAGTGGTGCCATCAATGGTTAGTTTGTTGTACCGAAGTTTATAGGCCTTGCGTGATGCTTTACCAAATTCAATGAAGTGCTTACGGGCCTTGCGTGTGTTGGGGGAAAGATCTTCGCTAATGCTGTAATTGGTGTCCTTTAGTTTTTTGGCGTTGGACAGCACTAGTTCTCGATCCTTGAAAATGGCAGAACCGGACAATGATGGGTATATTTTTACTTGGTTGAAAACGCCCTATGCGGTGAGCGCGTTCAATGTCTCTAGGTTGGACTAAAACTTCCAGATTGGTAAGACATAGATCCATGACGCGCTTCTCAGACTGTGCGCAAGTCTCGTCACTGGCATCTTCAAAACCGTAAAAGACAAGGTTGCATCGTCGCTGTCTGTCCTCAGAGTCATCCATCCTGGCGACAAGGCTAGCGATATCACCACAGTTTTGCTCAGTTAGTGTTTGTAAGCCGTCGACCTTTTCTTTTACCGCGGCTATTACAAAGCAGTTGTCTTCAATTTTAGAAAGTAAGCATATAAAAGATGCGGCAGCAGGCGGTCGTGTTCTGCAGCAATCACAGCGTTCCCTCTCCCGCAGGTGACTACCCGGAAGCCCCATGGCCAAAGATCCTCGAGATGATAAAAAAATCCGGCCTCTACTACAAGCTCTGATGTGTATATGTAGAGCAGAACCACCGTTCGAACGCAACCGTCGACGGCGGTATCACCAAGGCGATGACGGGGAGACAGCAGCAGCAGCAGCACACGGCTTCGACTGTGACCAGATGAGACAAGCAACACAACTACTCAGACCTCCCCATTCAGAGACACGCCAGTGACGTTTACGGCAGCGGCGCACGCTGTCATCGGCAATTCGCCCAATTAAAAAAAAATGGGAGGTTTCTCATTTCACCGCCAACATCGTGCGTTGAAGCGAAATAGGGGATCATCCGCGACCTGGAAGCGCAGTGAGACTTAGGTGTCACGTTCTACAGCTCGGTAACGGCCATTTAAGTTGCATTCGTCGCTCATGAAGGTTGTACACTTTGTTTAGCTGCACAGCTTCGCACTGATTGTTATGAATTCCATTGAAAACAACCTCAAATAAAATCAGCAAACACACTAAGTTCGCTTCTTCAGCAAAAATATAAATAAATAAAGCGTTGAAAACATTTAGGAGGTACAACAATCACGCACACTACCGTACTACCTCAACGACAAGCTGGCTTCGCCGCACACATACTTCGCATGCAGCAAAGCCACCTTGACGGTGGGCAGAAAGAGCGACGCGAGGTTTTGCAAAATGAAAATCTTCCAGTTCCCTCTCTCTTTTTATCTCTCTACCTTTTTTGAGTACTGTAAACGTTGTGTTGTTTACTCGAGGTCAGTTCGCGGTGTCAAGAAACCAGAAGCTATATTTTACGGTGTGAGTACGCCCTTCATCAAGAAAGGTTACCACCGACCCAATCTTTGGAGCGTTTTTCAACACCCAAATATCATTGCCGCTAAAAAGAAACCACACCAAGTCCATTCATTGGGAACGCGCAAAAATTAATATGTTGGCGTTTAAAACAAGCATGAGGCTTACGTAAAGTGCGCCCGTTTGAACTGCTACAAAGAGCTGCAGAAAACTACAGGCATATGTCACCTGTCAGTCGCAGTTAGCAACTTGTTGAAAGCTGCTAACGCCTCACTCCGATTTCTAAATGTACCTGCTTTGGTATTCATAAGGACGGTTTGTTGTTGCTCCAGTCTGCATCTCTTACTGCAGCCACAGACTGAAGTGCGAGTTACTCCTACTGACAGATCGCTTATAACGCATAAGAAAAACAATACACCTTGCATTCTGAGGATGCTTCATTGTACAGTTCAGCAACGAAAGCATGTGCGTTTGAAATACAGAAGTGAAGATCATTTTTTGAAGCTTAAGCGTGGGTTTGTTCAATTGAATTTTAAAAGTGATCCTTCAGGAAGGTAAGTTATCATACGAAGACCAATGCCACCCAATTCAAAGTTCTTAGGTACTTGAGGCTTTTGCTACCCACACAACATATCAAAGTAGTGCATGTTATGAACTTCTGCAATTAAATCTGCCAACACACTACCTCTTACGATGCCCTAAGTGATGTGCACGTAACTACGACTAGACCTTAATGGTGTTACTTCAGTTGAATATCTTGTTAAGGTTGCCAGAATAGAATAACAGTATCAAGGAAATGTAACGGATACTTTTTTAAAAGTCAGTTTATTTTAAAAGGAGTTGCAACTAAGATGACTGTCGTGCAGAATGCAAAATATTAGCTTGCATTTAATTTAGCTTTATCAGCAGTACCTCAGTACTGTGTGAAATAACTGCAACTTTCATCAGTTTGCATTATCATTTTTAGACATGGCCCGAGGTGCACTACCAAACAGCCCACCAAGAGCTGTTAACTATAAATGAAGAACTTAGACAAAAACAACTTCGGAAGCAAACAGTGGCTGCAAACGATGACACCCTTCCCTTGCAATCTCACCACAGTTGCTACAACTGTGACAAACTGATATATCAGATCTATGAGTCACCATCACTGAACTCATCTCCTAGTCCAAAATAAACGTAGCAAAACATAATTTAGTTAGAAAATTTTTAAGATTTATTCTGACACATTCCAGCTTTTTGTCACTGTATGTTCTTCACTCAGCATGAGTTACGATTTCCAATCCATTGGTCAGCAATTGTTGTGGTTAAGTGGATGATAACCATACAGTAGGCTAATGTGGTTTTTATGCATTAGGCTGAATCCTGAATGGTTCCAAATAATTTATTCCAAATATAACCAAAGTGAGCATTTTAATCCACTCAATAAGAGTGCTGATATTGTTCAATTTGGCACTGTGGTATGTGTTGTTCTTGACCACTTTACCACAGGGTGTTTCCCTTTTTTGGAACTGCTCTGCACTCCCGGCCACCATGCTTTTTTTATTTTTTGTAATATCACATAAAAAATTTGTCTTAGCAATGTAGTAGGATGCTTTTCGGGACACATAAACCCTCATTACAAGCAAGTTACAAGCTATGATCTAACTAACAAAACAATTAGATATTAATTATTAGTGAAAGCCACAATTACCCATCTTTATCACTGCCTGAATTCATCGAAAGCTCTTTGTCAAACTGCACACAGACAAGAAGGCTGACTTGCCATGGCTGTGCTGCTGAGACGCTGGTAACAACGCAAGCCGACGCGCTTGTAGAAACGTGAGCTTTATCTGTTGGAAAAACCTAATTACAAGTCGCATTTGTTTATATGTATGTGCTCCCCAAATACCTTGGTACACACCTGCATTATTTTTTTGTGCAAGAGCTGTCTAATGTGTGTCAGGGGGTGATTCCAAGAGCTAAACGAATATTTCAAGAGCTAAACGAGAGTTTGTGCGTGTATGGTTGCCATAGTTATCTTGGGATTGGCATTGAAAGGGTTGAAGCAGTGTGGAATGTGACAAATGCTACTACTCATCTTTATAATTAGCATTTTTTCCCCAGTAAACCGTTACTTGGAGGTATCTACTTGTAATCCTTTGATCGAGAGAAGCCAATTTGTGTGAGTGATGTACAGCTTGATTTATGCACTAAACGCTCAATAAAGTGTTCCTCCATTGTCGCTGAACTATAATGCAGGCTAAGTTAGAGTTCCTCTCCATGCCCTGTTGCAAATTTTGACTGCAAACTGAAAGTCGAAAGGCAATGCCTGAAAAGCGCTTTACAGAAATATTAATTTTTTTTAAACTGGAAAAGCTGGAAAAAATTGAATTATCAGATTGCCATGCTACCACAAGGAAAAAGTTGTTATATAAAATGACACTACCCTCATTAGCTTCAGTAAGGGGCAGCATGCTCGCGTACCCCTGCTACATCCTCCACTGTTCCAGAGTTCAAGCGACGAACACCGTCTACTTATCTTCTTCCTTTTGCTTTTTTTTCCTCTGCAGAGCACTTTAAAAGACATTATTTGCATGTTCCACTTAGACCATAGTCAGTCACGCTCCCAGCAGCAGCTGTGTCACAGGGCATTTGCTAGATTGGGTTTCATTTCACTCAAAGCACAGATCTCTTAAAAAAGATGAGTGCATGCGTGACTTTCTGTAGAAATTTTGGTTGTTCTTGTGCTTGCAATCATCTCAACTATCGTATGTAGAATCACTACTCGAGAGATCTTCACACCCAAGTTGACTGTTTGTAATGAGTGAACCTTGCGGGAAGGTCTTTCAGCAAAAGTGGCGGAGATTCAATACAGCACATTCTCAGTAAACGGATGTGTGTTTAGACTGAACAACTGCCTCTGGTATGATTGGTTTCGTACTTGTATTCTGCACCTTTGTTCATCTCTCAGTAAACAGAACTCCCATTAAATGGGACATTACTTCTCTGGTCACTTCCGGTTCCATTTAATGTTTGATGAGGAGCAGCTTGATTGCTTTAAATTCCATTCAAACTGTCGTAACCATAACTTCTGTTTCGTTCAGTCATTCATCATGTTTACTGTTCTTTATGTAATGAAGCAAAACAGTTTTTGCTTGCATATATTTTGCACACACATTTAGTTTTCTCAATGATGTCCCAATTTTCTCAAAATGTGTTAGCATGCAATACCATTGGTAAACTTTGATTAGTTTAGCCAGCACCTAGTTGCAATTTAGTTTCTATCTCCGAAATCCCTGCTTCATAATTCTGACTATAGACAGCTAGCGGGTATTTATGGTCAGGTCACCTAGCACATTTTAGTTGACAACTCTTAATAAATAAGTCATAATTCGCATCTGAAACACCCTAATTCAACTATAGTACAGAATGTTGTGGTATAGGCAGTCTATAGCAATAAGATTTTAAGCTCTTAAATACCTTAAATGTTTTCCTCAATCAATCACTCTTGAAGACATGACGATCGGCTTAAAACCTAGAACTTTAGGGTTTCTGGAGAAATGCATACTATTAGTTCTTATGACAACAACCTCCAACATGCAAGGCACAAGAGCCTTTTGGTCTCGTGTTACTAAAGCACTGCATCTAGCTTGACGTAATGTCATGCAAAAGTTTAACACTAAGGATGTGACCTCGAAACGAAAAATTTGAATAGACACTCACGAAGAGCATCCGATGTGGCCTGGATGGTGCAGCTGTACATAGCACACAGGAGCCGCTGCGGCTGGGCTTGAAAAGCACGTCGGCAGCCCTCCTTGACGGTTGAGATGATCTGGCCAGAAAGTGGTCCGTAAGTGCCTGGATCTTCCACCGGACATGTCCAGGTCCCACTGATCTACCACAAAAGCCACACCCATCATTGGCTCCTGGCACAAGGGTCCCGTCAGTGTTGCCAATTGAAAGCCACTCACGAAACTGTGGTCGTAGTCAGTTAATGTCTTAACCCCACTCGTTGAACCCCTTGCAGCACACTCAAAGCTACGACTCTTGTCTTTTTTCTCACCACCACCACCAGTCTTCATTTATCTTCTTGGACTGCTCGTGCAGCTCCAAGCCCAAGAGAGAATCACTATGTTTGTCGATATCACTGCTGCTCAAAAGATTCCACACCTGCAATGTCCACATCACCCTCCTCTAGCCTAGCTGAGTTGGCACAGTGCAGACCTTCTTGAAACACTGGTGTCTTCTTAAACCTAGGAATCCTATTAAGGAGCACGTTGGGCCCACACCTACGGGGGCCAACAGACCAAATTTGATCCATTGTCTCTTCCGGCCAACCGCTCTCTGCAAACGCTTTGGCCAAGGCCTTCCGAAGTTCCCCAATGTTCTTGGAGAGAGATTCTGGCAGCTTCCGACTTCGGGATGACAGTGCCTGGTCGTAGTCTCGAATAAGTGACGTGTGCTTCTCGAGCAGCTCTGTGACTTCCTCTGGGAGTGGTTGTGCTCGTAGTTTGATTGTGACTTGCCGGTTCGGAGTGAAAATTGTTACAGTCCCATCATCGGCAACGCTGTCATCTTCCTCCTGAATGACAAAAATGAGCGTTCTTCGATAAGACTTGGCGAACATGGTTGCTGTGCAGTTGCATCTTCGTTTCACCAATGTTACAGTTTCTACAAACATTACAATCTAGCAATTTCTTATCAGTCATACGTGATAATATGAATATTTAAATTAAAGATAAAACAACCAAAAGCAGTGCATACTTTATAAAGAAATCAATATTTGTCTGTATACAATTTCGAAAAATTGAAAATTGAAACTAGAAAATTTTTAAGTACGAGTTAGCAGCATACGCAATGCAATTTCACATAACAGAGTAAGAAGACACTTTATAGGCTAAATATACTGAACACATTAACGAAAACAAGAAAATACAAGCAGCAGCAGAGAATAAGAAAGTAAGAGAGCCTTACTTCCTTTGGTGCCCTTTGTACGGAATTCTTGTCTTCTATAACCTCATTTACCATGTCCACTTTTGGTGGCTCCACAATGGTCTCTCGGAAGGGCACAATTGGGTCTGATACATTGATTTCAACTTTTGCAAACCTGCAAGATAGTATCAGAAAAGAAATAGACAACTGAAGGCTGACATCTTACTACAAAGTATCAGGTAAGATACTATTATTTTTTCACAGAAAACATGTGTCTCCCCGCTAAATCTTGTGGAAGTATCCAAAAGAAATCCCCATGCATCATTCGCACATTGCGAACAGTGAAAATTAATTTGACATTTTTACAGAAATAACCCCTCCAACTTGATTATTGCGACTTTTTTTTCACTCGGTATCACACCGGTTAGTGGTCGTAGGGGACTTCAATGCTCCCCACACAGCTTGGGGCTATGCCATCACCACCAAGAAAGACGCGAGAGTCCACGACTCTGCTCAGCAGCACGGCCTCACATTGTTGAATGATCCGCTCCAGCCACGAGAGTGGGAAACAGCATCATCGAGAGATACCAAGCCCGACCTCACCTTTACACGAGATGTCAAGAAGGTGGGATGGACCTGTCTCCCCGAGACGCTTGGCAGTGATCACCACATAATTCAACTCGAAATCGAATATCGTCACAAAGACACAGGTACGCAGGTACGAAATAGGGCGTTTACTTTCGTAACCCAAGGGCCAGAAAGGCGAACACCAGAGCACGCGCACACAGAACTACTTCGTTGTCCTCCTCAGAGGCTGGCTACTATAGTTGCCAGCCTACCTTGCGTCAATTCCCCCCTTTCAAGAGCGACCGTCCCGGTCAATTGAATAAGATGCTAGAGGTGGCCATAAAAAAAAAATGATCACGTGAACGAAAAAAAAAGCCCCCGCTGTTGTGCATAATAAGGAAAAAGTTCGAAGTGTTCATAACTCGCGGGCGTGGTACGGTTTCATCCGTACTACATGGACTACTTCTGGACGTGGACATCTTCGGTTTGAACTGGTGTCGGATCTTTGGGGAACTACCTCGTAATTCACGTCACTGAGGCAGCGCCCAACTTCGTAAGGGCCAAAGTAGCGTTGCAGTAGTTTCTCCGAAAGCCCACGATGTCGAACTGGAGTCCACACCTATACACAGTCACCTGGTTGATAGTGGATGCTCCTTCGGCCTTGGTTGTAACGGCGAGCGTCGATATCTTGCTGCGCGCGAATGTGGTTTCGTGCAAGCTGGCGGGCTCCCTCGGCTTTCTCGACGAAGTCGTCAAAGCTGTCATTTCCGCTGTTGTCCTGGTCTACGGGGAGCATAGCGTCTAACGGTGTTGTGACGCAACGGCCATAAACAAGCTCGAATGGTGTTAGGTCTGTGGTCTCTTGCATAGCGGTGTTATAAGCAAACGTGACGTACGGCAAAATTTCAACCCACGTTTTGTGCTCTACATCAACATACATAGATAGCATGCCGGCCAGTGTTTTGTTTAACCTCTCCGTCAAGCCGTTCGTTTGGGGATGATAAGCTGTTGTTTTCCGGTGGTTGGTGTGCGTCAGCTCGGTGACTTGTTGCAATAACTCTGCCGTAAATGCTGCTCCGCGATCGGGTTATGAGAACAGCAGGTGCACCATGGCGCAAAACAATGTCGTGGACAAAGAATCTGGCGACTTCAACTGCAGTTCCCTTAGGCACAGCTTTGGTTTCTGCATAGCGAGTCAGATAGTCGGCCGCGACAATTATCCACTTATTTTCTGAGGATGACGTAGGGAAGGGACCAAGAAGATCCATCCCTACTTGCTGAAATGGTGCTCGAGGTGGATCTAAAGGTTGGAGGAAACCGGCGGGCTTTGCGGGTAGAAATTTACGCCTCTGACAGTCACGGCAGGTGCGGACATAGCGCTGAACGGACGAATACAGCTGTGGCCAGTAGTACTTCTGTCGGATGCGCGCTAATGTCCTAGCAAAGCCTAAGTGACCGGCCGAAGGATCGTCGTGGCATGCCTGCAAAACTTCCTTACGCAGTGCCGTTGGAACGGCGAGGAGGAAAGTTTCCTGGCTGCTCTCAAGATTTCTCTTGTAGAGAACATTGTTTCGCAGGCAATACGTTGTTAAATCACGCGAAAGTCGGTGTGGGACGATAACGTCTTCTCCTTGAAGATGCTGGATGACAGGAAGTAGCTCAGTGTCCTCAGGTTGAAGCTCGGCCATCCGCACCACATCGACGATGCCAAGAAATGGTAAATCTTGTTCAGTGTCAGACGACGTCGGGGAAATAGGAGCACGAGACAGGCAGTCAGCATGTGTATGCTTATGTTTTGATCAGTAGACCACCGTTATGTTGTACTATTGAAGGCGGAGGCTCCAGCGGGCGAGGCGGCCTGATGGATCCCGTAGATTGGCAAGCCAACAGAGCGAATGGTGGTCACTGACCGCTCGAAATGGCCGGCCGTATAGGTAGGGTCGAAACTTGCTAATGGCCCAAACGACTGCTAGGCACTCTTTTTCGGTGGTAGAGTAATTAGCCTCTGCTTTTGTGAGACTGGGGCTCGCGTAAGCGATCACACGCTCTGCACCGTTCTGCCATTGAACTAGAATGGCTCCGATTCCTACGTTGCTGGCATCTGTGTGGATCTCAGTGTCGGCAGTGTCGTCGAAATGTGCTAGCACTGGAGCTGTCTACAGTCGTTTGCGCAGCTCTACGAAGGCTTGTTGTTGTTCTTCCGTTCATACGAAAGGTACATCTGGCCGTGTCGGTCTTCTAAGAGGTTCCGCAATTTTCGAAAATCCTTCGACAAAACAGCGGTAGTACGCACAGAGTCGGAGGAATCGTTGAACAGCCTTTTTGTCTCCTGGACGAGGGAAATCGGCAACGGCAGCCAACTTCTCCGGATCTGGTCGAACACCCCCGGGCTCACCACATGGCCGAGAAACTTGAGTTCCTGATAGCCGAAGTAGCACTTTTCGGGCTTGATAGTAAGGTTCGCTCTCCTTATTGCAGTGAGGACACTTTTTAGCCTTGAAAGATGCTCGTCAAACGTGCTAGAAAACACAACGACATCATCCAAGTACACAAGACACGTCTGCCACTTTAGTCCAGCTAGTACAGTGTCCATCATGCGTTGAAACGTGGCGGGAGCGGAACAGAGACCGAAAGGCAGCACTTTAAATTCGTAGAGCCTGTCAGGTGTCACGAACGCGGTTTTCTCACGGTCGCCCTCGACAACTTCAATTTGCCAGTACTCTGACTTGAGATCTAATGATGTAATGAACTGGGCATGGCGTAGACGGTCCAAGGAGTCATAAATCCGTGGCAGGGGGGTAAACGTCGCGTTTTGTGACTTTGTTAAGCCGCCGATAGTCGACGCAGAAGCGTAGTGTGTTGTCTTTTTTCTTTACTAAGACAACAGGTGACGCACACGGACTTGTCGAGGGTTGAATGACGTCATCATTCAGCATTTCTTGAACTTGACGCTTAATCACCTCTCTTTCCTTCGGGGACACACGGTATGGATGTTGGCGAAGAGGCCGCGCCGACTCCTCGGTAACAATGCGGTGTTTTGTAACGGTGGTACGCTGAACTTTCGATGCTGTGGAGAAGCAGTCCGAGAATTCCCTCACAAGGTTTAGCAGCCACTCTTTTCGTGAATCTGGCAAGTCTGGATTAACGTGAATGCGGTTTCCCAGGTCAGAACAAGCTTTTGCATGCGGTGAAGTCGTATCTAATGTGCCGATATCCAAAAAGTCGGCGATTTCACTGAGGAAAGCGACAGTAGTCCCTCTAGGGACATGCTGAAACTCATTGCTGAAGTTGGTCAGCAGAACTCGAGAGCGTTTATTCTCTAACTGAACAAGGCATCGGGCTATGCATATGTTTCGTTTGAGCAGCAGCGGGATATTTACCTCTGCAATACCTTCATAGTCGTTGAATTCATCAAAAACGTCGCAGGCTACCAAGGTGAACACGCTACTCTTCGGCGGTAACGTGACGTCATTGTCAACAATTCTCAAAGCATTGACGTAATTGCCGTGAGGGTTGCGCGCTAAAGCGTGTGCCGTAGAAAACGTCACCTGCGACTCTTGCAAATCAATCACGGCTCCATTATCACGCAAAAAGTCCAGTCCGAGAATTAGGTCCCTCGAGCAACTCAGCAGTATTACAAAATTTCCGAGATACGTAAATCCGTGAATACTGACTCGCGCTGTGCACCGCCCCACCGGAGTGAGAAGATGGCCTCCTGCCGTACGTATTTGCGACCCAGCCCACTGGGTAGAACCCTTATTCAGCCTGCAAGCAAGACCCATGCTCATAACGGAAGTGTCTGCTCCAGTGTCAATTAGCACCATTACTTCTTCGTCGTCCACAGTTACCGCAATGTTTGATGTCACCACTCTTCGTACTACGTTTGACTGCGTCTGTACATCTTTTTGCTGCCGTCGCTGTCGTCGTAGTGGAGGATCTCCCGTAGAGTCAGGGTCAGTGGCCTCACCTCCGGAAGTCGCTGAACTCAGTTTTCCCGACTTGCAGGACTGGGTGAACGGCGTCTCAGAGCGCGGCATGAATAGGCTGGGCTCGGTGACCTGTAGCGAGCAGGCGATGACGAGCGAGGCTCTTGCGACCGATGTTCGATACTGCGATGATTCGAGATGAAACTCTCTATTTCCTGTGGTCGCTCGCCAGGTCGTGGACGAGGGGCATTAGGCGAAAATCCACGGAGACCCACACGACGGTATGGTCATGTTCCGTGGATGTGTCCGGCTTCCCCGCAGTGGAAACAAAGGGGCCTGTGGTCGGGTGTATGCCAGATGTCACTCTTTCTCGGTCTTGCTTCGGCGATCAACAGTGAGCTGCGAGGACGGAAGCCTACCTCCATTTGCTGAGCGTGTCACTCATTGGGGTAAAATACGCTGGTTGAACTGCACGATGGAGGATGTCGCACTGCTTCCACGTAGCTCATCTCGACGCAGTGCCTCTGTTGTGGCACTTCGGACGGTTGGGGAGCGTGAACGGCTTGCCGTAGCTTGGCGCGTAACATCTCCGCAATGGAGAGCTGCTCTACAGGTGAAGCAGTCACCTGCATCTTTTGTAGCTCTTCCTTAATGAGAGCTCTGATAAGCTCTCGCAACGTGC